GTGCTTTATATTCAGGTGATTTATTCTTTGTTTTTAGCCTTATCTGCGTGAATTTGAATAATTACTTTGTTATAGGCAACATAGCATCCTTGATTAATGTAGAAATGTGATGCCATCTTGATCTTTGTTCAGGTTGAGAGATTTGTGACAGGCTTTGTAGTTGTAATATTTTAGATCTGGGACAAATTGAGACATAGCCAAGAGAATGAACCCTGTAACACAAGGCTTAGCTATTTTTAACTCAACCTACCTGAGTATTATGTGATGTTTCAAGCTTAAAAAGATCATTTCCTCTTAATATCATAGGCTTTCAAATGGGTGATCCCTTAAGGGCCAACAGACACTGATATTTGATGTACGAGGACAAAAACAAGCTCAAATATGAGGATGAAATATGTGCTTAAATATAAAATATCAAACATAACCAGCAAGTTGTTAACATGTTTCTCAAATGATTAATGGATTGCCAAATTCTGCACCTCTACATATGTTTCCACAGGTCAGGCTTCTCCTACATTATAATCTTCAAACTACCTCACCCAAATGTATCTCATAACAGCATTCTCTCCAGGGAGCTCCCAATGTGGGTGGAGGTGTTGGTGGTGGGTCTCTTGATTTCCTTAGAAATAATGAACAGGTACCACATTCCGTTGCTACAACTTTCTTCTCTGGGTCTTTTGATTTCCTTAGAAATACTAGCATGCATCTCCTTTAAACTCCATATATTTTTTGAAATGGCCTTCCGATCTATGTGCTACTTGATTCAACATATTAAAGCAATTATATCGCATAATTTATCTTAGCTATTTGTTTTTGTTTCCAAGTTCTCTGAAATACTAGCCATAATTGTTGAATATGGGCTTTGCATTGCTCAAAATAAAGTTTGTTTTCAGCATAAACTGATTAATGTGGGGAGTTCATATTTGGTAGAAAGAGGCTGGAATGCAGAGATTTTACTTGCACTCATTTATTATATAAACCAAGGGGGGTTGCTCACAACTTGCATTCATTCATTCATTGATTCATTCATTCACTGATTCATTCATTCACTCAAAGGCTATTGAATCCCTTCAACTAATCTATAAGGTAGCATACCATCAGGTCCCCTTTGATCCTGAGATATTATTATCTGTCTTGATTTCTTGTCGGGTTTTTCTATAAATTACAGATCTTTGCCAACTCTAATAAGTCAAAGTTTTATATTTTTTTCACAATTAATGGATATTTTAGTTTGCGGGAAGATGAGAGACACTAGTAAAAATCTCATGTGGTGGGATAATTGGGAAAGGAGGATCGATCATTAAGTATTAATGTTTCCCATTATTTAAATTTTTAAGTGGAATTGATGCAACCTTATGTTTGTTGTCCTATTGAGAGTTACATATATTTCTACAATTTGCTTAATGTCTGAAGCTGATAGTATGTAATTTCTTGTGATCTTCGCTCTTGATCATGTTGCAGTTGGTTTAGAGATGAAGGCAGATGCGTATACCTGGAATGGAAGAAGGAAAAAAATAGCTACGTCTTTTATTGAGAACATGTCCAATTACTTTGACAACATAGATGCAAAGTAAGCTTAAATTATATGTTTTTAACTTTTTACCCTCTATGAACGATGTGGACTGTTCTGACATAGAAAATAGATCTAAGTCAAGCTTCTTGGATGCAGCAGGTGATTGAGACTCCTGCTTCTGCTATGTCATAGCCATTGTAAATAATTTATGTAAAAGTTTGTAAACAATTTATGTATTTCTCTACTATTTTGGTGAATGTATTATTTGAATATAATTGGATTTGATATTGAAATATAATTAGATTGTGTTGGATATGAATATAATTTTTTGTTGTTGGATATGAAATATAATTAGATTGTGTTGGATATGAATATAATTTTTTTGTTGTTGGATATGAAATATAATTGGATTAGATTGTGTTGGATATTGAAATATAATTTGAATATAATTGGATTTTTAACTTTTTTGTAAATGCACTCAAAGTAGATTCTTAAAAAAAAAAAAAAAACTGTAGCATAGCATCCTAGACGGAAATTCCGTCTAGGATGCTCAAATTTCGTCTAGGATATCTTCTTTTTTGAAAAAAAATTTAAAAAACACCCTAGACGGAAATTTCGTCTAGGATGACTATCCTAGACGGAAATTTCCGTCTAGGATACTCATCCTAGATGGAAATTTTTTTCGTCTAGGATGTAGTATTCTAGACGGAAATTCCGTCTAGAATAATCCGTCTAGGATGTATTCTAGACGGTTTTTAATTCCGTCTAGAATAATCCGTCTAGAATGTATTCTAGACGGAATTTCCGTCTAAAATACTACATCCTAGATGGAAACATATTAGACGCGTATTCTAGACGGAATTTCGTCTAGGATACGCATTCTAGACGGAATTCTAGGTATCCTAGACGGAATTTTCCGTCTAGGATGCCTCATAATTTAGTAGTGGCAATAGAATTACGGTCTTGAATAACTCTTGCTTGATGCATGCAATTAATCTTTCAATTTTGATATGCTTAACAAACTAATGTCCTTTGTGATCATTTTGCTAACCAATGATTTCAATTTGATTGTAGAGGTCAGATTCGGAAGCTAGCAGATCAAAACTCCATCGGCCTTCAGTTCTGTTCTTCAGGATGTGCTCTTTGCAGCTGAGGATTAGTTTTTTTATTAGTATTGTGTTTTTTATGCTATGTTAATTTTTTTGAGTGACTATTTGTTGAGAATTTTCAAGTGCTGGATGCAATTATCTAGTTTCCATTTTGAAGTGTTGGATGCAAGTACGAGGACATTTTCAGATTTGCTCATTTTGTCTAGAATATGCGTCAAGTTTTTGCAGTCTAGTGGCTTTTCTTTAGAAATGTGGGAGGTAATTGAAATTTTGAATTTCACTATTTTTTGTTGTTAATAGAAATATAGAATGGATCTCTATAAATTCTACAGCAGAAATAGTAGCCTCTAAGCCCAAAAAGCGTTATATGAGAGACTGCCTTAAACCAGAAGTCTATTGCTTACTTCTATAGCGGTCACATTTGCGTACCAAACTATTGCAATAGTTCTGCCTGTTCCCTGAGCAAAAACCATTGCGTTTAGGTCAATAGTTTTTTAAATGATTGGTCTTCTAAGGGAATAGTTTTGAACGGTTGCCGGAGACCTGAAATGTGATTGTATATGTAGGCGGCCAAAAATGCAGATGAAATCTACTTGATACAATAAAGAGGCCCTCCGAGAGCAATTTGGTCATTCAACATGATAAAGGGGAACTTCGTGTACATTACAAAAGTCCACAATTAACTCCGTTGTCGTTGCAAAGCTAGTCAACGAGACGAACAACACTAATGGTAATATGAGTCAGAAGTCACATCGACGGTCACACTACTAAATCTACACCACTAAATGCAGCAAATTTTCTATTACACGGTTGTCTGCACTGCTGACCTGGACTACTCTGAAGATCGGTCGCAAAGCTAATAAAGCTGTCACTCGCCTATATTGCAATAACCGAACTATGAAACTGTTGTGTCGCCTGTTGACTGTTATCCATGCGGTGATAAAGTGACTATATAGCTCCATGCTGCATTAAATGCCCGTACGACAGTGTAGCTCTGCGACGCCAAGTAGATTTTTGGCTATAAATGTAGCCCCTTGGCCTTCATTTCGAGGGCTCTAAAATCTTTCCTCTTTGTTTGCTATTGTTGTTTTGTTGATGCTCTCTCGCAGCTTTGCAGCAACACAGCAAACTCTTGTCTTGAAGTGTTCTCACCACCATTTTATTTGGTCTTTGTTCGTTTTTCCAACTTGCTTTGTTTCTAAAGCTTGGTGTTTAACACTCTACCACTCCTCATGAGTTAGTACTACCACTTGTCAGTTTGACTTTTGTAGGTTGTTCTATCATTTGATCCTTGAAAACCTTGATTTGGTTAATTTAGATTCTAATGGGTGGTTGTTAACGGGAGGAAATCCCATAAAGGTAGATTTCTCCTTCACAATATCTATCAACGAAAAAGACCCATGTTGTAGGAAATGATAAAGAGTTCATGAATCTTTTTTTTAGAACAAATCTGATAGATGTGGTTCGATGGAGCGTCCAGATCTGACCTAGGTAGCAGTACAATTGCGAGAGTGAAGGTTATGTTATCACACGACACATGATCTTATGCTCATTCTTGTTGACATAATCATGTCCAAACAACGTGGCGAAATGCAACGCTTTGCTAACAGTACTTGACCTTGCCAGGAGATTAGTAATCATGTCCAAACAACGTGGCGAAATGCAACGCTTTGCTAACAGTACTTGACCTTGCCAGGAGATTAGGTGCAGAGTATTCAGAAGCTAACGAAATGCAACGCTTTGCTAACAGTACTTGACCTTGCCAGGAGATTAGGTGCAGAGTATTCAGAAGCTAAGGGGTATTCTCAACTCATCGTCAAGCAAATCAAAATGGAATACATAGTGAAGCATGAGGATCTATTCCCATACCGCAACAAAGCTCAAGAAATAATGAGTACATTTAAAGTGGCCGTTAGCGTTGAGCATGTTGTCTGATCATACCGAAATGTTGATATTTCTCTTTGGGTTCTTGATGAAATAGGCTCAAAATAGTTGCAAATGAGTGTTGCTATGAATCTAAGACACGAGTAATTCTTAGAATGAGGTATAATTGGAGTATATGATAGTAAAATTTGATAAATTGCAAAAAAAATGACAGGCTGTCAGGTCGAGTGCACGCGCTCACTCTGCCAATGCACATTCCCGATCGGGAAGCAGTTCAAGAAGATGAATTTGCCACTTATCTTATGTGGAGTGTCATTGAGTGCATGCCCCCACCCATCGAGAGGAGGCGCTCAACCTGTAAATTATCAAATTGTTATTATATGCATATTTTGAGATTCTGACTTCTAATTTTATTTCCGTTTTCTTCGTTAGCTTCCTTGAAATCAAGATTACCTGTAAGGGACATTTGCACATAGTTTGACGTTAGGTGGATTTTTAATCATTTTTAGGAATTCTTCAAAAACTATTTTTTTTGGTAAACATGTGTATTTGCGTCCCATATGTCTAAATTAAGTCTTGTGAGCTTTTGATTGCGTTTATGATGATAAAAATGTGCTGAGCTAGTTAATATCACCGACTTACATGATTTTAGTATGGTTGATCATGATCTTTTTGTGCATAAATGATGAAACCTTTATATTATGGATATTGAGTAGATTTTGTGGGCCCATAACTTTTGGCTAAATTGTGAGTGAGTTGAGGCCCAGTTCATGTTATCATGTTGGCTAGATGGGATATAACCAGTTAGTGTACTCCTTTAGGGAATATTTCTATTTAATCTTTGTAGATGGCCAAAATGTATTTTCACTTAGGACGATGATCAGCTTGGATCCAAGAAGTGAACGCTCAAAGGCTAAACACTTCGAATGGGCCCAAAGTCAAGCCCGCAACAAGCTGGAGCGAAGGTCACCTGATGACTAATGCGAACCTCGCTAATCAGCCCACCTTAAATTATGTATCAAATTCGAACTCTCATGACACGCCCTAGGCTGAGACATAAAGCGCCATTGGTCGACCAAGCCTAGAGTCAAATTATGTATCAAATTCAAACTCAGAGGCGAAGCTAGCCAACCAATGAACTTTGCCCACGTCAAGTGTACAAAGTCATCCACTTCCGAAGAAGGCGCGCTCACGTCCGCAGTGACCTTTGCCCACGCCTTCAACCAACCTCGCCAAGTCCGCAAAGTTCACACAAATAGCCATTTCAGAGCTATTTTCAGGGGATAAGTACTCCGCACTAACTCCTCCTTTTTAATGACCACTTAACCCACATAAAGGGGCTATTAACTCTCTCTTTTAGCCTATAATAAGAGAGGAGATCATCCATTTTAAGGGGTTTTGATAATCACATTTTTATCACAATTTTATACCCTCATTATCTATTTTATACGAATAAATATACCACTAATAATTGTTTTTATCTTTAATTGTAGGTTAATAAAAAATAAAGCCCAAGATCTCTTTTCTCATCAAAAGCCCATAAATATTAATGAAGAAAACAAGCATCAAGCCCAAAAGCCCAAAAGCCCAAAGCCAAACAAAGAAGAAATTTGCGGATAGGAAAAGGATGCATCTAGGCCTCGATGCCCCCATCGATGCCCCCATCGATACCCCCATCGATGCTGATCAAATAGTTACAATCCTATGGCTGAAATTCAAGGGTTTTGGATAAGAATTCGATCCAAGGGCTCATATTCATTGATGTTTACTATAAATAGGGGTAGAGAGTGAGGGGTTAGAGGTGTGAAAAATTTTATAACTCCATTTGGAGAGGAGGGTTACTCTTAATTGAGAAGACCTTCTAATTTTGTAACTTTTGTTGTAATCAATAAAAGAATTTTTTTATCACTTTAAATTTTCTTCTCTTTGTTTGATGATGATGATGGAGATGAAGATCAATTTGAAGGTTTGCTTTTATTTTATTTTTCTCTTTTATTTTTTAGTAATATCTTTTCTTATTGCTTGTTAGTTTAGATTTACATTCATGTCTTGTAGAGTAGATTTATTTTCTTGTCTTTATTTTATGCATTTTTAATTTGTAGAGTAGATTTATTTTCTTGTATTTTTATTTCTTTTGCAATTTAGTTAGATTTATTTCTTGTTCATAGTGTAAAGTTCATTGTTCTTATTTCTTTTCTTTGTAATTAGTTCTTATTCTTTTCATTTCATTCATTGTTTTTATTTCTTAAGATGTGGAACTAATTCTTGTAGGAATCTTAGAATTGCATGAAATTAGCTTTATTTCCTTTATATTGTATGAATTATTCTCTTATGCTTAAAATAATCATGTATAGGATAATCAACTAGAGAACTAATTAGTAGAAGAAGAATTTGATAATCTATACTTATCTTGAGTGGTTTGATATGTTATGCTTATGAATTCTAGAATTATTATCTAGTCGTTGTTCTTGTCATGAATATTAATTTTGCTTAGATGATAATTTGATAGGTTATATTTTCCTTAAATGATTTGATAGTTTATGCTTAATAAATCTAAAGTAAAACATGATAAAAAGAGAATAGTTTATATTTTGTAATTGAAATTCACTAGTGGATTCAACTCTAGATTCCTCATATCTTTAATTGAATCATCCATCTTTTCTTTCTTGATCTTTCCTTAGTTCTTGATTTTCTCTTATTTGTTTCTTGATTTTTATTTCCTTATGATTTCATTTATTCTTTATCACATCCACCCTCAATCACCTTTTATGCTTATTTACACATAATCACCCTCACTCCTCATATCTCTCCACAACCATATTTATCATCACTCCTAATTGTCATGCACACAACATAAGAACCGATTCTAATAATTTCTTACAAACACCTTCCTCGTAGGATTGATAACTTTTTATACTATAACTTGATTAGTTGTGCACTTATAACTTTTGGTACATATTTATGCCGCATCAGGTTTGAAAAGTTCGACAGAAGAGTTAGCACATGCATCGCACTTGCGATGCCATTAAGAAATATTGTTAAGAGAAGACTGAATTATCTTCCAAGCAATTCAACTCTCATCAACAATAAAAGACCCATTGTCTTAATTGATGCGTTAACGAAGTACAAGATTGACGCTCTACTAGCACACAAAAAAGAACCCTAGGAAATAGAAAATTTTCTTTGTTTCACTGTATTTCTTTTATTGTAATCTGCGCCAATTGTAATACACAAAAATTTGAAACATGATGGCAATTCCGTTGGGGACTTCCTTCTAATATGATGA